AAAATTAACAAATTCAAAAAGGGTCAGAGATATAAATGTAAGAGTGAAAACCATAAATCTTCTAGAAGAAAACATAAGAGAAAGCCTTCGTGACCTTGAATGAGGCAGTGTTCTTTGGTAGGACACAAAAACAAGAACCATAAAAGAAAATGTTGATAATTGGACTTCATCAAAATTACAAACATCTGTTCATTAAAAGACACTGTTAAGTATAAAAGACAAGTCACAGACTGGGAGGAAATTTTTGCAACATACTTAGCTGACAAAGGGCTTGTTACTAGGATACATACAAGTTCTAAAAACTCAATTTAAAAAACCCTCAAAAACAAAGAAACAAAAAACAGCCCAAAGATTTAAACAGGCACTTCACCAAAGAAGATATAAATAGCAAATTAGCACAGGAAAAGATGCTCAAAATCATCAGAGAAGAGGGAAATGAAAATTAAAGCTACAATGAGATACCACTACACATCTATTAAGAAGGCTAAAAATTAAAATTAAAAAACAACCGACAACACCAAATGCTGGTGAGGATGCAGAGTCACAGGAACACTCAGATATTGCTTGGTGGGAATGCAAAATGCCACCACCACTCTGGAAAAGTTTGACTTTATTTTCTTTTTTCCCAAAAGTAAACATGTACTCACCACATGACTCAGCAATCTCATTCCTAGATATTACCCAAGAGAAATGAAAACATATGCCCACACAAGGACCTGTACATAAATGTTCTAGCAGCTTCATCTAATGATAGCCAAGAACTGGCAAATGGATAACAGATTGTGGTACATCTATATAATGGAGACCAGTCAGCAATAAAAAGAAATAAAGTACTGATATAGACATCCACACTGAATGAATCTCAAAAGCTTTATACTGAGTGAAAGAAGGCAGTCTTAAAAAGCTATGTACTGGCTGGGCACGGTGGCTCACGCCTATAATCCCAGCACTTTGGGAGGCTGAGGTGGGCGGATCACTTGAGGTCAGGAATTCAAGACCAGCCTGGCCAACATGGTGAAACTAAAAAATACAAAAAGTTTAGCCGGGTGTAGTGGCATGTACCTGTAATTCCAGCTACTCAGGAGGCTGAGGCAGGAGAATCGCTTGAACCCAGGAGGTGGAGATTGCAGTGAGCCGAGATCACACCAGTGCACTCCAGCCTGGGAGACAGAGTAAGACTCCAACTCAAAAAAAAAAAAAAAAAAAAAAAAGATATGTGCTGTGTATGATTCCCTTTATATGCTATTCTGGAAAATGCAGATTATAGAGATGAAATCCAATCAGTGGTTACCAAGAGTTGGGGTGGAACACGGAATTTCTGAGGGTGATGAAAATGTCCTATATTGATGTGGTGGTGGCTGCACTATAACATACATTTGTCAAAACAAGCAGAACTGTACATTTTTAAAGTGTGAGTTTCCCTGTATGTAAATTATACCACAATAACCTGACAACAACAAAAAGAGAGAGACAATGGACTGCATCCATCCAACACCACTTCTTACCAAGGAGCTCCCGGGAGCCTCTCTAGTGTCTCCCCTCCCTGCCCTGCTTGGGATGGGCTGAGCAGCACAGCGTCCCTGCAGAGAGAATGGAGAATGGGCAGTGCCCACACAGGGGGGTGGCATGGGGTGAGAAGGAACCTTAGTCCAGTCAGTCCTGACCACCAGCCCATCTCTCATCACTATTCAGCAGAGGGAACTCAAGTTGAGTTACTGGCACCTATCGGCAGAGCCAGGGCCAAACACAAGGGGTGGGGAGTGTCGTACAGATTACGGCTGCCTGAATGATCGGCCCTGATCTGTACAACAGATCTGTGCAGTCTGAGCTTCCACACGGCAGCAGCTGTCCTTGACCCCTTCCCCTCCTAGTCGGCCCCTCCCTGACCTTCCCAGGCCTGTGGGAAGGGCAACGCGCGTTATCACCTGGCTTTGATCCCCACAAAGCTCCGTGTGGTACCTGACTTTTCTCTCCAGGATATTTGGGGAGCTGAGAGAGGAAATTATTGTGGAGTGATCAACTGTTAAGTCCCAGGCCACGTTCGCTTTGTATAAAATACTTAAAAATAAGACCAGGCACAGTGGCTCCCGCTGTAATCTCAGCACTTTGGGAGGCTGAGGAGGGAGGATTACTTGAGGTCAGGAGTTCTAGAGGAACACAGCAAGACCTCCTCTCTCCTAAAAATTTTTTAAAATTAGCTGAGCGTGGCGGCACGGGCCTGTGATCCCAGCTACTGAGGAGGCTGAAACCGAAGAATCGCTTGAGCCCAGGAAGTCTAGGCTGCAGAGAGCTGTGATCCCGCCACTGTACTCCAGCCTGGTTGACAGAGCCAGAGTGACCCTGTCTCAAAGAAGTTTTTTTAATTAAAAAATTAATAAACTATTTAACGTGACCCTTATAACAGTCACCTGAGATGGACACTGACCCCGTTTTACAAATGTGGACATTGAGACGCAGGGAAGTTAAATCCCCTTGTCAGAAAAAGGCTAGCGGAGGTTTACGGCCGTGTGAACCTGACTTCAGAGCTGAAGTCTTTGGAACACCATTAGTTGTGGCTGGCCTTGCCCCACATGCATTTGGTTCTTAATCCTTTGCTTGGGTCTTCATCTAGGCAGCGAATTCCTCAGCCACAGATGTCCCTCTGCTGTCTAACACACAGCAAGCTTGCTGCTCAAAGTCCTGCTCTGGCTTCCTGGGTGCAGCTGACCGCGTTCGGGCCCACGTGGGGCGGCTCACACCTGGCAAGTCAAGCGGGTGAGGCCGCGCCTGTGAAGGGCGCCTGGTTCCTCCGCAGGAGCGGGGTGGCGCGGCGCCGCCGGCTGGAACCCGGGGTAACTGCAGAGACCATTGGGATCACAGGAATGGCTGGCGGCAGGACCGACCCTCTCTCGAGGAGGTGACGGGGTTTCCTGCGCTGCAGGCCGAAGAGGAGTCCTTGACGCAGCCCTTGGTGCAGAGCCCCCGTCGGCCGACAGGCGTGCAGAGCTCTGCAGAGGACCCTCCCGCCCTCTGGGCAGCCTCCCAAGCCGTGGCACCCCCAACCCCCAGCACTGGGCACCTGGGAGCACTGCAGCCGTCCTGGCTCGTACCGGTGCCCGTGCTTTGGGCATCTGGGCTGGTTTGGACATGGGTGCCCGGGCAGAGTCCATTATGCAGGTCAGAATCAGTGTGTGGAGCCTGCATAGACTTGCCCTGGAGCGGCTGCCTGTGCTGGGGTGGGGAGGAGTGGAGGGCGAGAAGTCGGTGGGGAAGGGAAGAGGCGCCAAAAGAATACCCACAACATCTTGCGCCTGGAAGGCAAAGCAGACGGCAGTGATCCCTGCAGACTTGCGGGGGCGACGCCTGGAGCAAGAACGGGGACATACAAGCTGGTGCCTTGTGTGGTTGTGTATGGGGTCTTCATGCTTCCTGCCTGAGTTCCCAGGAGCTTGTCTCTGCTTCTCTAGGCAGCTACCACAGCCTGTCACAAACAGCTCCTGGCTCTCTACTTCTCATAGTCTCAATTCCAAAATCCATTGCCTCACCCTGCACCTCCTCTCCACCTCCACCTCCTCTCCACCTCCGCCCCTCCCAGCACCTCCCAGCTGCTTGTGTTCTGTGTCTGCCAATTCTCTCCCGGCCTGGGGTGGGGCGGGAGGGGGGGGGGGCTTTCCTCCTGTCTGTCCTTTGATGTCCAGCTGAAGTGTCACCTCCTACAGGCAGCCTCCCCTGGCTATGCCAGTTTGTACTGATTGCCCTGTCCTCTGAATTCTGTAAGCATTTCCCTTGTGTACCTGCCCCTGTGCCCTGCAAGGTGGGCCTGGCTTGTGAGAGTTTTACTAGGAGGGCCTGGTACCACCACAGCCCAGCATGGTGTGGTGCCTCAGCAGGAGGCATCTGGTTACAATCAACCCAAGCTGTTCCAGACAATTTGAAGAAACTTCAGGAGGAAGAGGGTTTCAGGAGGGCATGGGGACCCTCCTGCACCTGAAGCCAGGAAGTGCCACCAATCAGGAGGCAGGGGCCTCTTTCCGCTGCTCCCTGGGGCTCTCCAGGTGTACGCAGCCTCAGCCTCCCTCTGCACACCTGCGTCTTTCTTCTCATCAGCTTCCTCTGCTTTAAGCGTAAACATGGATGCCCAGGATCTGGTCTCAATCTTCCGAGTCTGGTGCCTACAGTGCACTGACGGTGTGAGACCCTACTCCTGGAGGATGGGGGACAGAATCCGATCGATCCCCTGGGTTGATGACTTCCCTGTGCAATCAACGGAAGCCAGCAAGGCAGGGTCACACGCCCCGTTTAGAGGTGCAGACTTTGAGGAGGAATGTGGGCAAGTCTTCCCAGGAACAGGTGGGGCAGGGAGGAAAGGGGGGCATCTCTGGTGCAGCCTGGTTCGGAGCAGGAAGACACTTAGTAAATGCTGATAGACTGCAGGACAAAGGCAAAGGTGCTGAGCTGGACCCTTTATTTCTGCCCTTCTCCCTTCTGGCACCCCAGCCAGGAAATTGCTGCAGCCTTCTGGAATCCCGTTCGTTTTTCATACTGGTTCACAAAAGGGACCAAATGGAAGCAGCAAGACCTGGGTTTAAATTAAATCTGTCAACTACCAGCTCAGTGAATCTGGGCGAGTAACGCAAGACTTGAGTGTCCTTACCTGAAAAGTAGAGGTTAGAGGGATGCTACGTGCAGTTGTGTGTGTGAGGGGAGGGGTGGTGGGGGGACTCGTGAGCAATTAAAGGTGAGGGGGGAGCCCTGTGCCCAGCACCCATGCACTGGGGACCCTAAAAGGAGCATCTTCTCATGGTTTTACATATCAGAAATTGGGATGGCATGTCACTGGGACAGTGTCTTTTTTTCTTGTATGGTGGCACATAAATAGGTGCTTCTTATAATTAATGGCATCTTAGAGTTGATGAAATATGGAATATTACCTGTTGTGCTGATCTTGGGCAAACTACAATATCTCTGGGTAAAAATGTCCCCATCTGAAAACCAGGGACAATGTTCCTCCCACGGCCAGCCACTATGGGGCTAAAATGAGACCACATCTGTCAAGGGTTTTGCCCTCACCTCCCTCCCTGCTGGACGGCATCCTTGGTGGGCAGAGGTGGGCTTCGGGTAGACCAAGCCGTGCTGAGCTAGGACCAGGAGTGCTAGTGCCACTGTTTGTCTGCGGAGAGGGAGGCCTCAGTGCTGAGGGCCAAGCAAATATTTGTGGTTATGGATTAACTCGAACTCCAGGCTGTCATGGCGGCAGGACGGCGAACTTGCGGCATCTCCACGACCTGCCCCTGTGAGTCCCCCTCCAGGCAGGTCTATGAGGGGTGTGGAGGGAGGGCTGCCCCCCAGGAGAAGAGAGCTAGGTGGTGATGAGGGCTGAATCCTCCAGCCAGGGTGTTCAACGAGCCTGAGCTTGGGGTAAAAGGACACAAGGCCCTCCACAGGCCAGGCCTGGCAGCCACAGTCCCAGGTCCCTTTGCCATGCGCCTCCCTCCTTCCAGGCCGAGGGTCTCCAGGGCCCAGGGCCATTCCGACAGACAGTTTGCCACCCAGGACCCTCCATTCTCCTCGCCCCACTTCCACCTTTGGGGGTGTTGGATTTGAACAAATCTCAGAAGCAGCCTCAGAGGGGGTCAGCCAGAATGGCGAGCAGGGTCCGGCAGGGTGTGCAGGGGGCCAGGTGGCCTATCCACTGGGGAGGGCTCCTTGCTCTCTGGCCACCAGGGCTATCTCTGTGGCCTTATGGGGCACCGGGTCGTTTGGGGCAGTGGTTGAGGTTCCAGGCCTAAAACCACACAGTCCTGGCCTTGAGTCCTGGCTCTGAGAGTAACACACGGATGTAAACATGGACGCCCAGGACCTGGCCTCAATCTTCCGAGTCTGGTGCCTACAGTGTACTGACAGTGTGAGACCCTATTCCTGGAGGATGAGGGACAGAATCTGATCAATCCCCTGGGTTGGTGACTTTCCTGTGCAATCAATGGGAGCCAGCGAGGGTTGGATTTTTAATAAACCACTTAACTCCTCCGAGTCTCAGTTTCCCCCTTTATGAAATGGCATTGACAGCATTAATGGCTACCTCTTGGGTGGTTGTGAACCTTAACTGATGTCGTATCTCATGTTTACTGAGCATGAGCTGTGTGTAAAGCCTGTTTAATTCTTACAACACACTTTAAGGCAGAAATACAACACGTTATTCCATCCATTTTACAAATGAGGAAACTGAGGCATGGAGCAGTTAAGCATCTTGCCCAACATTGCCCTCCAGTAAGTGCTGGAGGTAGAAATTGCACCGTGCAGTCTGGCTTCATGGCCTGCCCTCTGAATCCTGTAAAAGTTGTTTGAAGGACACCATGAGTGTCCAATCAACGTTAGCTAATATTCTCAGCCCAGTCATCAGACTGGTAGAGGCAGCCACCCCACTGTCCCTAAAGAGGGCACAAACATCCTGGCGCCCTCTCCACCGCATTTTGGAGCTGCTTTCTGGGCAGGCAGTGTGACCTCAGCCCCACGTAGAGCGGGCGGCCGAGGCCTTCTGAGGGTGACTATGTGTCTAACGAACGAGGACCCTCAATCCCAGCTTCCGCCCTGACAGCCGGCACACAGGGACAGCCCTTTCATTCCGCTTCCACCTGGGGGCGCAGGCAGAGCAGCAGCGGGGGTGGGCACTGCCCGGAGCTCAGAAGTCCTCCTCAGACAGGTGCCAGCACCTCCGGAATGTGGCGGCTCACAGGCCTTCTGCTGTTCGTGGCCACCTGGGGAATTTCCAGCACACCAGCTCCTCTCGGTAAGGCCACCCCACCCCTACCCCAGGACCCTTGTGGCCTCTACAAGGCCCTGGTGGGCATCTGCCCAGGCCTTCACAGCTTCCACCATCTCTCTGAGCCCTGGGTGAGGTGAGGGGCAGATGGGAATGGCAGGAATTGACTGACAAGTCCCAGGTAGGCCAGCTGCCAGAGTGCCATACAGGGGCGGCCAGGGCAGGTACACGTGATGGCAGGGAGCCCTGCGATGACCTCCTAAAGCTCCCTCCTCCACACCAGGATGGTCACAGAGTCCCCTGGGCCTTCCCTCTGCACCAACTGTGAAGACCCCAGGCCCAGGCTACCACCCACACTGTCCAGCACAGCCTGTCCTACGCACATGCACACCGGCCTCAAGGCTGCGCTGCCCCAACCCCTTTCCTGGTCTCCACAGCCAACAGGAGGAGGCCGTGATTCTCGGGGAGGTCTGCAGGACACATGGGCCCCTAGAGCCACACCAGGCTGTTGGTTTCATTTGTGCCTTTGTTGAGCTGCTTGTCTGCCTGGGACCCGCACCCCCACCCTTTCCCGCGGTGTCCTCAGCTCAGGCATACCCTTCTCTATGATACCTTTCCCTCCATCCCCTCTTGCTCACACCCCCAACTTGATCCTTCCCTCCTGACTGTGCCCTGCACCCAAGACAAACACTTCGCGGAGCCCAGGGGACACTTGGGGACCCTCCCTGGGTGACAGGACTGTCTATCCTCCAGGTGTCCCTGCTCAAGGGGAGGAGCATGGGGAATACTTGGTCAGGGGAGGAGAGGAAGACTGAGGGGATGTGTCAAGATGGGGCTGCATATGGTGTACTGAGGGAACAGTGAGATGATTTAAGTTGGCAGCCTTTACAGCAGTAGCCAGGGCTTGAGTGCTGATCTCTGGGCCAGGGACTGTATTGGATATTTTACATGACGGTCTTATCCCCATGTTTTTGGATGAGTAAATTGAACCTTAGAAAGGTAAAGACGCTGGCTCAAGGTCACACAGAGGTCGGGGTGGGGTTCACAGGGAGGCCTATCCATCTCAGAGCAAGGCTTCATCCTCCAACTGCCATCTGCTTCCTGGGGAGGAAAAGAGCACAGAAGCCCTGGGCAGAGCCATGACCTAGAATTAGAATGAGTCTTGAGGGGGCCGAAGACAAGACCTTCCCAGGCTCTCCCAGCTCTGCTTCCTCAGACCTTCTCATGGCCCTAGCCCCCCTTAGGCCCCTCCACCAAGGTGAGCTCCCCCTCCCTCCAAAACCAGACTCAGTGTTCTCCAGCAGCGAGCGTGCCCACCAGGTGCTGCGGATCCGCAAACGCGCCAACTCCTTCCTGGAGGAGCTCCGTCCCAGCAGCCTGGAGCGGGAGTGCGTAGAGGAGATCTGTGACTTCGAGGAGGCCAAGGAAATTTTCCAAAATGTGGATGACACAGTAAGGCCACCATGGGTCCAGAGGATGAGGCTCAGGGGTGAGCTGGTGACCAGCAGGGGCCGGGAGGAGCAGGTGGGGACTCAATGCTGAGGCCCTCTTGGGAGTTGTGGGGGTGGCTGAGTGGAGCGATTAGGATACTGGTCCTACAGTGTTGGCCAGGCACATGTGACCGCAAGAAACAGAATTCAGGAAGAAGCTCCAGGAAAGAGTGTGGGGCAACCCTAGGCGGTGACTCCCACCAACCACAGTGCAGGTGGTTCAGTCCACCCTCCGGCCACCACTGAGTGCCTCCCTGTCCCGTCTCACAAAGAGGGGACCCAAAGGCCATCCTGCTTCCACCCATGCCTCTGCTGATCCGGGTGTGTGTAACCAAGACACTTCTGTCCACATAAAATGGCTCACTCTGTGCCTCACATCAAAGGGAGAAAATCTGATTGCTCAGGGGGTCAGAAGACAGGGTCTGTGTCCTATTTGTCTAAGGGTCAGAGTCCTTTGGAGCCCCCAGAGTCCTGTGGAGGTGGCCCTAGGTAGCAGGGTGAGCTTGGTAGCAGGGCTGGCTCCCCGAGACAAGGCTCAGACCTGCTCTGTCCCTGGGGATCGCTTCAGCCACTAGGACCTGAAAGTTGTGCATGACCTGGGCCCCCTTCCAAGGCATCCAGGGATGCTTTCCAGTGGAGGCTTTCAAGGCAGGAGACCCTCTGGCCTGCACCCTCTTGCCCTCAGCCTCCACCTCCTTGATTGGACCCCCATCTGCTCCCCTCCATCCCCACCACCTCTTTCCCCAATGGCCTCCCTGGCAGACACCACAGTGATTTTCTGCAGGCACATATCTGATCACATCAAGTCCCCACCGTGCTCCCACCTCACCCATGGTCTCTCAGCCCCAGTAGGCCTTGGCTAGCCTCCCTGGTGGAGCAGGCAATCAGGCACAGGCCCTGGGTCTCAGCGTGGGGTGGGTGGTCCCAGACCAGCAGCACCAGCGGCAGTAGCAACCCTGGTGCCTGGTTAGGAACGCAGGCCCTCTGCCCCCATCCCCCCAACTCTGAAGAACACTGGCTTAGGGAAAGGCGAGATGCTCAGGGGTCCCCCAAAGCCCTCGGGCAGAGGGAGTGAGGGGGCTGGAAGGAGGCCGAGTGACTTGGCGAGGGATTCGGGTCCCTTGCGTTGGCAGAGGCTGCTGTGGGAGCGGACAGTCGTGAGGGCAGCGCTGCAGCTGCACGGGGAGAGGGTGTTGCTCCAGGGACGTGGGATGGAGGCTGGGCGGGGGAGGGGCAGGGAGCACCAGCTCCTAGCGGGCCGAGGACCATCGGGCGTCGATCCCTGTTTGTCTGGAAGCCCTCCCCTCCCCTGCCCGCTCACCGCTGCCCTGCCCCACCCGGGCGCGCCCCCTCCGCACACCGGCTGCAGGCGCCTCACGCTGCCCGCTCTCTCTGCAGCTGGCCTTCTGGTCCAAGCACGTCGGTGAGTGCGTTCTAGATCCCCGGCTGGACTACCGGCGCCCGCGCCACTCGGGGTCTCTGGCCGCTGACCCCCTACCCCGCCTTGTGTCGCAGACGGTGACCAGTGCTTGGTCTTGCCCTTGGAGCACCCGTGCAGCAGCCTGTGCTGCGGGCACGGCACGTGCATCGATGGCATCGGCAGCTTCAGCTGCGACTGCCGCAGCGGCTGGGAGGGCCGCTTCTGCCAGCGCGGTGAGGGGGAGAGGGGGTGCGGGCGGGCGGTGGGGCGGGGCTGGGCCGGGTGGGGGGCGCGGCGCCAGCGCCAGCTGCCCGCGCCCTGCCCTGCCCGCAGAGGTGAGCTTCCTCAACTGCTCGCTGGACAACGGCGGCTGCACACACTACTGCCTAGAGGAGGTGGGCTGGCGGCGCTGCAGCTGTGCGCCCGGTTACAAGCTGGGGGACGACCTCCTGCAGTGCCAGCCCGCAGGTGAGAGGCCCCCGTTACATCGCCCAGGAATCACGCCGGGTGCCCGCGCGCGGGGTGGGCAGGCCCCCTGACGGGGCGCGGCGCGGGGGGCTCAGGAGGCTTCTAGAGAGGGAGCGAGGAACAGAGAGTTGAGCCTTGGGGCAGCGGCAGACGCACCCCAACACCGGGGCCGCTGTTAGCGCAGTTGGCCCGGGAGCGGAGCGCGCCCTCCGCTTTCCCAGCTTCGTTTCTTCCTGGAGCCCCCGCCTTCCTCCGGGAGCCCCTGCGCACCTGGGGCCACCTCCCGGAGCGCGAGCCCAGGGGTGGCTCCGCTCCCCAGTGTGAGCGGATCTGGGGCCAGGCCTGCAGCGTCCTCCTCCACGTAGCCTTGGCTGCGTTTATTTTCTCTGACGTTGTCCGGCATGCATCGCATTTCCCTCTCTACCCGCTTGCTTCCTTGAGGAGGGAACAGAACCCTGATTCTGCTTTCTTTTATATTTTCCTTTTTATGCATTTTAATCAAATTTGTATCTGTACGAAACTTTAAAAATCAGAGTTTTACAACTCTTACATTTCAGCATGCTGTTCCTTGGCGTGGGTCATTTTTTCATTCATTTTCATTAAAAGGTGGACCCTTTTAATGCGGAAATTCCTGTCTTCTACCTCTAGGGACACTTGTTACTTATTTCTTCTATAATCTCCCCTTTATTTCCTCTGTTTTCTCTTTCTGGACCTCCCATTATTCAGACCTCTTTCCTCTAGTTTTATTGTCTCTTCTATTTCCCATCTCTTTGACTTTGTGTTTTCTTTCAGGGAACTTTCTTTTTTAATTTTTTTTTTTTTTTTTTTTTTGAGATGGAGTTTCACTCTGGTTGTCCAGGCTGGAGTGCAATGGTGCGATCTCGGCTCACCGCAACCTCTGCCTCCCAGGTTCAAGCGATTCTCCTGCCTCAGCCTTCCGAGTAGCTGGGACTACAGACATGCACCACCACGCCCAGCTAATTTTGTATTTTTAATAGAACGGGGTTTCTCCATGTTGGTCAAGCTGGTCTTGAACTCCTGACCTCAGGTGATCTGCCCGCCTTGGCCTCCCAAAGTGCTCAGATTACAGGCCTGCCAACCCGGCGCACGAGTTCCCTCCCCAGACTCTTTCAGGGAACTTTCTAAACTTTATAATTCAATTCTTCTGCAGAAAAAAATTTTTGTCCAGGCTCAGTAGCTCAGACCTCTAATTCCAGCACTTTGAGAGGCTGAGGTGGGAGGATTGCTTGAGCTTGGGAGTTTGAGACCAGCCTAGGCAACACAGTGAGATCCTCTCTCTATTTTTTTAAAAAGTAAAAAAAAGATTTAAAAATTTAACTTTTTATTTTGAAATAATTAGAGATTTCCAGGAAGCTGCAAAGAAATGCCCGGTGGGCCTGTTGGCAGATCGTGAGGGCTTTCCTTTTTTTTTTTTTTTTTTGAGTTGGAGTCTCGCTGTGTCGCCCGGGCTGGAGTGCAGTGGCCAGATCTCAGCTCACTGCAAGCTCCGCCTCCCGGGTTTACATCATTCTCCTGCCTCCGCCTCCCGAGTAGCTGGGACTACAGGCGCCCGCCACCTCGCCCGGCTAGTCTTTTGTATTTCTTAGTAGAGACGAGGTTTCACCGTGTTAGCCAGGATGGTCTTGATCTCCTGACCTCATGATCCGCCCGTCTCGGCCTCCCAAAGTGCTGGGATTACAGGCTTAAGCCTCCGCGCCCGGCCGAGGGCTTTCCTTTTAGGCTGCTTTCCAAAAGGATTCCTCCAAGCTCTCGAAGGATGGAGGATGCTCACCCATGCTGTTTGGCCCCTCGGAGCAGGGTGGGGCAGGGGAGCTGGCGCCTGTTCAGGCTGTGAACATTTGCGTGACTCCCTGTGGTCAGCCAAGAGCCGCACTCCTTCCTGAGGAGAGGCCTGGAGTGCCTAGTCAGAGTTACTGGTTCACCTTCTGCAGGCAGGGAGAGGGGAGTCAAGCCAGTGAGGAGGGCTCTCAATTTCTCTTACAAACTCTCAACATGCCCTCCCACCTGCACTGCCTTCCTGGCAGCCCCACAGCCTCCTGTGGTTCTCCTCAGCCCATCACGGGCTGAGATTTTTGCTTTCCAGTCTGCCAAGTCAGTGACTGCATCCATCTCTCTGCTGTCAGCTTCTGGAGTCGTGTTGCTGTTGTGTCCTCTCCATTCTATTGTCAGTATGCAGCTCCCGCGCTGACGGCGTCCCATTGCCCCTTTAAGTCTAGATATCTGGACTTGGCATTCAAGGCCCATTTTGAGCAGAGTCGGGCCTACCTTCCAGCCCTCAGTTCTCCATGGTGTATGCACTCTCTTCTTGGCAGGGAGGCTTCACAAACATGCCCAGCCTACTGTAAGGGCTCTCCAAGAATGGTCACCTCCTTCTCCCTATAATTCCTTTCCTCTGTGAGGAGCTCGGCAGCATCCCAGCATAAAGCCTTACTAATCCCAGGGACCACCCCCAACAGCCCTGGGGTACAATGAGCCTTCAAGAATTTTAGCCACCTATGTAAGGAGACACAGCCAGTGGGCGATGCTGCCTGACCTGACTCTTGCCATTGGGCAGTGATGTTTGTTGACTGACTGACTGACTGGAGGGGGTTTGTAGTTTGTATCTCAGGGATCACCCCCAACAGCCCTGGGGTACAATGAGCCTTCAAGAAGTTTAACCACCTATGTAAGGACACACAGCCGGCGGGTGATGCTGCCTGGTCTGACTTGCCATTCAGTGGCACTGTTTGTTGACTGACTGACTGACTGACTGGAGGGGTTTATAGCCAATGTTAATGGAGTGGTCTAGGTGTCATTGGTTCCTTGAACCCTGCACTGTGGCAAAGTGGCCTGCAGGCAGGAGGAGGACCAAGACAGGAGGGCAATCTCGGGAGGAGTGCCTCACAGGCCCCTCACCGCCTCTGCCTGCCTCAGTGAAGTTCCCTTGCGGGAGGCCATGGAGGCGGATAGAGAAGAAGCGCAGTCACCTGAAACGACGAGACACAGAAGACCAAGAAGACCAAGTAGATCCGCGGCTCATTGATGGGAAGATGACCAGGCGGGGAGACAGCCCCTGGCAGGTGGGAGGCGAGGCAGCACTGGCTGCTCACGCACTGGGTCCGGGGTCACTAAGCCCCTCCTGGCAGCTGTGCAGGGACCGGGAGGGAAGCACTGCAGTTGCTTGCAGGGGATGATAAAGGTGGGGGATGCTTCAGGGAAAGATGGACACAACCTGAGGGGAGAGGAGCAGCCAGGGCGGGTGAGGGGAGGGGCATGGAGGAGTCTGCAGGAGGGAGGGTTACCGTTTCTAAAAGGAGCTGGGAAGACGCTGCTGTGCTGGTGGGATTTTAGGCAGAAGCTCTGCTGATGGGAGAGGGCTGGAGGAAGGGCTGGAGGAAGGGCTGGGCCTGGGTACACCTCCAGCCTCCACATGGGAACTGTCACTAACTGGGTTCCCCTCTCTGCCAGGCATGGGGGAGATGGAAACCAACAAATGGGGGTATTGGCCCTGGGAACTCAGACTCTGCGAGGGTCAGGACCCCCAAGACCAGGCAGCCCAGTGGGACCAGAGCCAGGACGGCCCTGCGAGACAGGGGCTGAGGGAGGCCCAAGGGGAACATCCAGGCAACCTGGGGGCCACAAAGTCTTCCTGGAAGACACACAAAGCCTGGCCAAGCCTCTCAGGATGTGAGGAGCTTGCTGGGCGATGTTGGGTGTGGCTCAGGGTGACTGGAACAGTATGAACGGTACAGGAACAGCATGGGCAAAGTCAGGAAGACACCCTGGGACAGTTGCTAACTCTGTAAAACGGGCAAAAATAGAAAATACCAGAAAGGGCCTAAGCCTGTGCCCATGTGACCAGGGAACCCAGGAAAGTGCATATGAGACCCAGGTGCCCTGGACTGGAGGCTGTCAGGAGGCAGCCCTGTGACGTCATCACCCCACCCCATTCCAGGTGGTCCTGCTGGACTCAAAGAAGAAGCTGGCCTGCGGGGCAGTGCTCATCCACCCGTCCTGGGTGCTGACAGCGGCCCACTGCATGGAGGAGTCCAAGAAGCTCCTTGTCAGGCTTGGTATGGGCTGGAGCCAGGCAGGAGGGGCTGCCAGAGGCCTGGGTAGGGGACCAGGCAGGCTGTCCAGATTTGGGGGACCCCGCTCCCCAGGTGCTTAAGCAAGAGGCTTCTTGAGCTCCACAGAAGGTGTTTGGGGGGAAGAGGCCTAGGTGCCCCCACCCTGCCCACCCCTGTGACAGCTGGTATTTTGCAGTAGGGGGTTCTCTAGTGCCTAGCGTCTGCCAAAGCCACAGGCTGCTTCCCTAGCAGGCTGGGGGCACCTATGCATTGGCCCTGATCTATGGCAGTTTCTTCGGTGGGGGGAGGGGTCTGGCTCAACTCTTTATGCCAAAAAGAAGAAAAAGCATATTGAGAAAGAACAAATTCACATTTCCTACAGCATAATCTATGGCCAGTGGCCCCCCGTGGGGCTTGGCTTAGAATTCCCAGGTGCTGTTCCCCAGGAACCATCGGTCTGGACTGAGAGGACCTTCTCTCCCAGGTGGGACCCGGCCCTGTCCTCCCTGGCAGTGCCGTGTTCTGGGGGTCCTCCTCTCTGGGTCTCACTGCCCCCGGGGTCTCTCCAGCTACCTTTGCTCCACGTTCCTTTGTGGCTCTGGTCTGTGTCCGCGGTTTCCAGGGGCCTCGGGCTTCCCTGCTGCCCATTCCTTCTCTGGTCTCACGGCTCCATGACTCCGGAAAACGGACCAGCCTCCTGCCACTTTGGGATTGACATCCGTTGGCCACTCCTTCTGGCAGGAATAGTCACCGTTGATAGGGATCCAGGGCATAGACAGGTGGCTCCCCGACAGCACCTGGGACGTGTGGGTGCAGAGTCTCCGGGTGGACCTTCTTCAGGCCGTCTGCCCAGGCCTGCATGGGCACAGCAGTGGGTGGGCCTCAGGAAAGTGCCGCTGGGGAGAGGTTCCCCGCAGCCCGTTCTGACCGGGCCCTCTGCCCTGCAGGAGAGTATGACCTGCGGCGCTGGGAGAAGTGGGAGCTGGACCTGGACATCGAGGAGGTCTTCATCCACCCCAACTACACCAAGAGCACCACTGACAATGACATCGCGCTGCTGCGCCTGGCCCAGCCCGCCACCCTCTCGCAGACCATCGTGCCCATCTGTCTCCCGGACAGCGGCCTTGCAGAGCGCGAGCTCACTCAGGCCGGCCAGGAGACCCTCGTGACGGGCTGGGGCTACCACAGCAGCCGAGAGAAGGAGGCCAAGAGAAACCGCACCTTCATCCTCAACTTCATCAAGATTCCCGTGGTCCCGCGCAATGAGTGCAGCGAGGTCATGAGCAACATGGTGTCTGAGAACATGCTGTGTGCGGGCATCCTTGGGGACCGGCAGGACGCCTGCGAGGGCGACAGTGGGGGGCCCATGGTCGCCTCCTTCCATGGCACCTGGTTCCTGGTGGGCCTGGTGAGCTGGGGTGAGGGCTGTGGGCTCCTTCACAACTACGGCGTTTACACCAAAGTCAGCCGCTACCTGGACTGGATCCACGGGCACATCAGAGACAAGGAAGCCCTCGCCAAGAGCCGGGCACCTTAGCGACCCTCCCTGCAGGGCTGGGCTTTTGCATGGCGATGGATGCGACATTAAAGGGTCATGTAACAAGCATACCGCCTGCTGTTCTGTCTGTCCTTCCATCCCTCTTCTGGGCGCTTCTGGAGGGAAGTACCATTTATTGAGCACCTATTGTATATCACATGCCTTATAAATAGAATCTTAACTCCCAGAGCAACTCTGTGGGTTGGGGGGAGGAGCAGATCCAAGTTTAGCAGGGTCTAAAGCTGTGTGTGTTGGGGGGGATACTCTGTTTATGAAAAAGAACAAAAAACACAACCACAAAGCCACTAGAGCCTTTCACAGGGCTTTGGGAAGAGCCTGTGCAAGCCGGGGATGCTGAAGGGGAGGCTTGACCAGCTTTCCAGCAAGCCCAGCTAGGAGGTAGATACGTTTAGCTCATATCACAGAGGAGGAAACTGAGGGGTCTGAAAGGTTTACATGGTGGAGCCAGGATTTAAATCTAGGTCTGACTCCAAAACCCAGGTGCTTTTTTCTGTTCTCCACTGTCCTGGAGGACAGCGGTTTCCACGGTGCTCGGTGCGGAGGCCACCATTAGCTCTGTGGGGAAGCAGCCGGAGACCCAGGAAGTGTTGGTTCAGCCCAGAATGAGCGCACAGTGTCGCGGGGGGAAGCCGTTTCAGAACAATGTTACACCATCACGAACAGCAGCAAGAAAGAGGATCTGGCTTAACCTGGCCTCATGGGCCTAATTGGATGAGACAGAAATAAGTCAAGGATGCTCTGATTTGAAATCACGAAGTACCTGATGAAAATGAATGGTGGTGAGATAAAGCTGAGAAAATTCATCTAAAGCCCACAATCAGCCTAGCTCTCTGTGTGGTCTCAGGCAAGTCTCTTCTCCTCTCTGGGTGTGACGGTTAATTTTAGGTGTCGATTTGACCGGATGAAGAGACACCCAGATGGCTGGCGAAGCACGATGTCTGGGTGTGTCTGTGAGACGTTCTGGAGGAGATGGGTCACTGAGTGGATGGACTGTGTGGGGAAGATCCGCCCTCAGTGTGGGCGGGCACGACCTAATCAGCTGGGGACCCAGATGGAATAAAAAGGCAGAGGACAGGTGAATTCTCTGTCTCTCCTGGAGCTGGGACACCCTTCTCCTGCCCTTGGACATCAGTTCCAGGTTCTCAGGCCTTTGGACTCTGAGACTTACATCAGTGGCCCTCCAGATTCTCGGGCCATTAGCCCTGTACTGAGGATCCCGCCATCAGCTTCCCTGGTTCTGAGGCCTTGAGACCTGGACTGAGCCAGGCCGGCTTCCCTTCTCAGCTTGCAGGTCTGCCATGGGACTCCTCAGCCTCGATGACCACAGAAGCCAAATCCTTAGTGAGCCCCTTCTCATCTATCTGTATCTATATACACATCCTATTAGTTCTGTCTCTGGAGAACCCTGACTAACCCAGGGGATATCAGTAAACTGAAGGGATTGGATGAGAGCAGTGGTTCTACACCCTGGCTGCATATTTGCATCTCCTGGGGAGCCTTTTTTTTTTTTTTTTTTTTTTTGAGATGGAGTCTCACTCTGTCTTCCAGGCTGGAGTGCAATGGCACGATCTTGGCTCACTGCAACCTCTGCCTCCCAGGTTCAAGTGGTTCTCCAGCCTCAGCCTCCTGAGTAGCTGGGATTACAGGTGCACACTAGTAGAGATGGGGTTTCACCATGTTGACCAGGCTGGTCTCGAACTCCTGACTGACCTCATGATCCACCTGCCTCGGCCTCCCAAAATGCTGGGATTACAGGCGTGAGCCACCATGCCCAGCCCTGGAGAGCTTTTAAAAACGCTGATGTCCAGTCCCCGCCCCCAGAAATGCTAATTTAACTGATTGGGCCGGGGGAGTGGGGACCCAGACATTGATATTTTTACAACTCTCCATTTCAGTTTAATGTGTTCACTGGGGTTGCAAACGACTGGGCTAGGCCGGGTGCTGTGGCTCATACTGGTAATCCTGGCGCTTTGGGAACCGCAGGCAGGAGGATCGCTTGAGCCCAGGAGTTCGAGGCCAGCCTGGGCAACATAGGGAGAACTTGTCTCTATTTAAAATAATAATAAATCAATAAAAATTGACCAAATGGTCTTTAAGGGCCTTTCTTCTTAGGTAAACTCTAGTTCTAAGACTCTCCAAGTTAACGAGGATAAAGCCAGTTATCTGAGAAAGCAGTTGCGGCCAGACCAGAGGGGACACCAGGATCCACAGAGTTAGTTATCTGTGTGTGGCCACAAGAAAAGAGACCTGCCCGAGCTGGGGCCTGCGGGATTCTCCTCCTTACTGACCTGGGGGAGGAAGAGGTGGGGCTGCCTGGAAATGGGAGCAATCCGTGCCCGGGGCTGGAAGCAACTGCCAAATGGCACAGGGCCAGTGCCTACCACAGTCTCAGTGGAGGTGACGGACTGAGAGAATGACAGAGGGCTGGAAGGCTTCGCCTCTGCTGAAGATTGCCGGGTGAGCTGCTGTCAGGACAGTGACCCTGCATGGCCTAGACACCTCTGGCACCGACCTGCTGCCTGGGGAAACTGGGGAAATTAGAAAAGCAAACAAACATTTCAAGTCTTGGAAATGGCCCTGAGGGCAAGCAAAACAAGAACAAAAACACAACTTTTAAACCAACAGAAGAAAACTGGATGTGCCCAACAGAAAGCAAAGGAGAGAATGAAAATAAGCAAGAAGCACATAGACATCAACTGCATTTCTCTACACGAACACGAACATGTGGAAACCCGGGTTCAAAGCACACCACCACCCCAGTCACTTTAAGGGAAGAAAGTACTTCGATATACTTTTAGCACAACATGTACCAGGTCTGTGTGACAAAATTTACAAAACGCCGGGAATGTCCATTCTCCCAAAACTGATCTACAGATGTAATATAATTCCTATCCAAATCCCAGTGTGTCTTTTTGTGGACATAAACAAGGTACTATATGTGTGTGTATGTGTGTAAAGGACCTCAGATGACTAGAACGTTTTGGAAAAAAGACGTAGGAGAAATCACTGTAGCCGGCGTCATGGCTTGTTGAAAAGGTCCAGTCATCAAGACTACGTGGTGCTCATGGAGGAAGAGACACACGGATGGAGCGAAACGGAGACACTGGAGCGAGACCCACACAGCTACAGCCTTTTGATTTTTAATAAAGATATAAAAGCAATTCAGTGGAGGAAGGAGAGGCCATTCAACAAAGGGTGCTGGCACAGTGGGGCCTCAATAGGCAAAAAAGTGAACCTCAGCCTATATCTCTCACCTCATACAAAAATTAACTCAGCACTGAACTTAGGCCGGGCGCAGTGGCTCACGCCTATAATCCCAGCACTTTGGGAGGCTGAGGCAAGTGGATCCCCTGAGGTCAGGAGTTTGAGACCAGCCTGGCCAACATGAAGAAACCCTATCTCTACTAAAAATACAAAAATTAGCTGGGCATGGTGGCACACACCTGTAATCCCAGCTACTCAGGAGGCTGAGGCAGGAGAATTGCTTGAACCCAGGAGGCGGAGGTTGCAGTGAGCTAAGATGGTGCCACTGCATTCTAGCCTGGGCGACAGAGTGGGACTCCATCTCAAAAAGAAAAAAAGAAAAAAGAGAGAATGGAACTTAGGTGTAATATAAAACTGTGAAACAAAACAAAAGAAAGTACAGTTGATGGAAACTGAAATAAGATGAAAATAATAACAATAAATGTAATTAGGTCAAGCTTAGCAATTAAAAAGATAAATCTAAGAATTAAAAATCCAATGAGAAAATATATTGATTTGAGACAACTTAAAAAGCACCAAAAGACTGAAAATAAAGAACACTAGAAATACCACGTAACTTTGAATGAAAAGAAAGCTAAGATAGTGATTCTAGTAACTAATACAATGGAAATTAAGAAAAAAATACCATAAAGAACGATGGACATTATATACAGAAAAACTCACTCACATGTAAAGATCTAATTATTATAAAACAATATGTGCCCCTGCAACGTAACCTCCACATACTGCACACAGTGTGACATTTGACAGAAGGGAGGAATAAACAACTTTTACTTGTATTTGGAGAGTTTTTAAAAAAAAATTCTCTTATAAACCAATAAATCAAACAGATTTTTAAAAAGTGGATATGTAGATGATCTGAACAGTAAAATTAACAAGCTTGAGCGATTCTTTTTTTGTGTGTGACAGAGTCTTGCTCTGTCGCCCAGGGTGGACTACAGTGGTGCAATCTTGGCTCACTGCAATCTCTGCCTCCTGGGTTCAAGCAATTCTCCTGCCTCAGCCTCCTGAGTAGCTGGGACTACAGGTGCCCACCACCATGCCTGGCTAGTTTTTGTATTTTTAGTAGAGATGGAGTCTCGTCATGTTTGTCAGGCTGGTCTTGAATTCCAACCTCAGGTAATCCACCCACCTCGGCCTCCCAAAGTACTTGGATTACAAGGCGTGAGCCACTGTGCCTGGCCGAGCAATTCTTTTTGAGCACACCAGGAACATTTACAAAACTATACTGGACCATGAAGAAAGCCTCAATAAATTCCAAGGGATCAATATAATACAGAACATGTCCTCTAGCTAAAAGACAATAAAAGTAGAAATTTCTGATGAAAAACTTTAAAAATGCCATGTTTGCAAACTAATTAACGTATTAGCAGGCAATCATAAGATAAATTAAGAAATTGTAAGAATTGAATGTTAATTTGTGTTTCACAGCTACAGCAACACCAGAAGGGAAATTAAATATACTTATCTAGGCTGGGCGCGGTGTCTCATGCCTGTAATCCCAGCACTTTGGGAGCCCAAGATAGGTGGGTCACCTGAGGTCAGGAGTTCAAGACTAACCTGGCCAACATGGTGAAATTCCATCTCTACTAAAAATACAAAACTTAGCTGGGCATACTGGTGGGCGCCTGTAATCCCAGCTACTTGGGAGGCTGAGGCAGGAGGATCACTGAAACCCGGGGAGTGGATGTTGTGGTGAGTTCACACTGCGCCATTGCCCTCCGGCCTGGGCAACAAGAACGAACCTCCGTCTCAAAATAAATAAGCAAATATTCTTATCCAGA